CCATCTGACATGCCGGTTAATATAAAAATGTTCTATTCAATGATAATACAATTTTTCCAAAACTGAAAAACTTTAAAAACCACGAAAATATGGTCATTTTTCAAAAAGCTATATATATTCTGAAAGAGGAAGCTTCACTACATCCTCCTATGATAAAAACTCAACTTCAATATGTTTTTGAAAAATCCGATTTTCTATGGTAAGGTGATTAAGTATTAAATGGAAAAACTTTATTTTAATAGAACTATCAAAACAAAAACAAATAGTTTAATAATAATTAACATACCATAATATCCAACTTCGACATATTTTTGAATATGATCTCGTGTTGTTTGATTTGATGTCCACTCCTTACAAAAAAAAAAAAAATATTTTTTTAATACTAAATTCTTTATTATTATTTATTTTCTACTTTAAATGTTCCATTTGGATTTTTCATAAATGATACAAGAATAACATCAGTTGGTAATAAACTTGATGTTAATAAAGCAATAATCAATGAAGTTGAACAAACTAATGTAACTAAATAATCTCGATTTCGTTTTTGTTGATAACGTAATGTAAATATAATTGAAAAGAATATTATAAACTAACAAACAAAACAAAAAAAAACCAATTTATCAAAAAAAAAAGGACACTTATTAAATTACATACTAAACCAACAATTGCAAAAGGTAACCAACTACCAAGTGATGCTAAAATCAACATAATTGTTTGAAAGAATCTAAGAAAAAAAAACAACAAGATTATGTAAAGAGACAAGCTTAGACAGTTGAATAAATGTATGCTTTCGTAATCGAACATTGTCTTGATTATATGATGATAATAATAATAATAATAATAATAGTAAAGACAAAGCTTTATCCAGACTTAAAAATGTACATGTATTTTCAAGATAGTCAATTGAACAAATATAAAGACGCAAACAAACATGATAACAGTTGGATCAATACGGATTTAAATTTTTTTTTTTTATAATGATAATCATCAACTATATAAGGAGGAGAACAATTTGTTCATTCATTCTTTATTCAAACTACAATAATGTACAATCATCATATTCTTTATTTGACTATACTTATATTGTGTCTATTCAATTTCATAGCATCAGCTACTCCTAATTGTCCGGTTGAAGGTATAGAAAAAATTTTAGTATAATTCGATTTATTATTTATTCTTTTGCTAGCCGATCCAACAACAATTCTTAGTTGTGTTGCTATTGATGCTGTTGGTTTAGTTCAAGCAACAAAAGGTAATATACGAGGATTTTGTACTATGGCTGAACGTTTTATGGAATGTCTTAAAACAAAAACAAGAGGATGTTTTGGTGAAGATGTAAGAAAAACAAAAAAAAAAAAATTTTTTTTTTTAATTTGAATAATAACAAAAAAAAATCAACGGATAATTTGTAGTTCGTACGTGGATCTCTTTCAGAATTAATTGAACTTTCACAAAAATGTTGTGTAAATAAAGAGGAAAAGGTGAATGAAGAATGTCCATTTATTAGTAAGTTATATTTTTCTTCTGATTTAATAATTCAAAAAAGAAAAAATTTTATTTTATATTTTAGCAAAACCAAATTGTTTTTCTTTAACTGATATGGCAAAAACTTCCATGGGTACTGAAATTCTTATTAAAGATCTTAAAATAGGTGATCAAGTACTTGCTATTGATTATAATGATCAAATAGTTTCAACAGAAATTATTTCATTTTTACATTATGAAAATAATTCTCAAAGTAAAAATAAAAAATTTATTTATTTAAAAATTTCTTTTTTTTTGTTTTTAGCTTTTTTTTATACATTTACAACTGAAACAGGTCATCATATATCTTTAACATCAGATCATCTTATATTTATTGGAAATGGTACATATATTCAAGCACGTTATGTTAATCCTAAATTACATAATCTTTATGTTATTGGAAATAATGGTCATTTACAATCATCATCTATTCGTTCAATTGATGTTCAACTCAAACAAGGCTATGCAACACCTATAACTCAATATGGAACCTTGATTGTTAATAATGTTAGTTCATCATGTTATTCATCTATTTATCATCATAATTTAGGACATATGGCTATGGCACCTTTACGTTTAGTTCATCATGCTAAACAAATATTTGGTATTGTTAATAAAAATGAAATACCTAAAAATGGTATTCATTGGTATCCAAAAGCATTAAATAATTTTCTTCATATGCTTGGACCTTTAGCAAATATATTTACAACAACTATGGGACAAATTTAAGAAACAACGATATAAAATTTATGTTTAATATCAATTAAAAATAAAAACTTCTTTTTTGTTTTTTAGAAAAATAAATAAATAAAACATTTTTAGTTCAAAAATATGAAATATCGTAAAGAGAAAAAAAAAACTACTATGATATTTTTTTACTCACCGAAGATTTTTGCTTTGTAAAAATTTATATACTGTTTGTTTTGTTTTTTTTTTTTTCATATGTCCAACATGACTCTAAGTCATAAACAATCTATGTATATTAACCAATCATAACAAATTTCGAATAGATGACGCTCTCGTAATCATCCGTGTAGGATGAAGAAATATATTTTCATTCGTTTGTACTTTTTGTCTATGTTTATTCTTGATTTTTTACCAAAGAGAAACAAATATCTTACTTTTTCTACACGCACATGGCGTTCTCTGAGGAAAAAACAAACATTTTGTTTTTTGATCTTCTTATTGTCATAAAATAATAAGAAAAAAGAACAACAAAAGACTTTTTTCTGACTTTTTTCGCCAACAATATTCCAGAGACTATCGATGAAACGTATTGACTTCCATTAATGATTGTGCTAACAATGGCAGACAGGAATCCGGGAACACATTATCTCGTTTGACTCAATATTTCTCTTGATGACACACAATCTTGGGATGCTCGAGAAATGATAATCTTTAATTAATCATATTGATACATTCAATGATCTGGATTCATGTGAAGAATATTTTCGATTGTAGCAAACTATATTCATTCTAGACGAAAAAGAAAGATGGGACTAATAAGCATGACAAAATTCAAAGGTTTCTATCACAAAATTTTCGATCATGTAGAAGTGTTCAGTCGATGAATTTTGTAACCGATCGTTTGCTATTCTCACATCAACACTCTTTTGATTCAATCTAAATCATTGATTTTGTGTAAACATTAAACACTGATAACAACGATCTTTGTTTTTGAATGTTAGCATTTGTGAATGGTTTGTTTGTTTACAAAAAGAAAAATATGAATTTCTTCTATCGAATGAGATCTTCAAGAGCCGATCTCGAGTCTCTTTTCAAGACGATGAACATGAATCTATCGTCATGGAGCACGAAATCATTCGATCGGTGTTAAGTTTACATCGAATTAGGAACAGTTAAGATGTATGCGAGAATGTCAGGAAAATCGATTTGATTCGATCAAACCGAAGGACAAGACATAGTCGATCACTATGTAATGATGATCGAATCGATGCTGGCATTTGACTACAAGTGTTCATCGATTCGATATCATTTTAATGTTGTTCGAAAGTCGACGAAGTAAATTGTCGAAGCACACCAAGATCATTTTCGTAATGATTTTATTGTTTTTTTGATCGATCAAAATAGATTTTAATAAATACATGAATGATATTTTTCAAATAGAAATCTTTTAGTACGAACGTATGCTTATTTATTCGTTGGACAATCAAAAAGAAACGACCTTAATCATCATTTATTAATAATCTTGGAAAAAAACGAACTCTGTTGACTTTCTTTGTTGTTTATGATTAACTTGCATGAACAACTCATCAGATTTTGACATTCATTTAAAATGTCAATCACCAAAACATTTTTAAAAATGTCATTTTATTGACATATCCAACGTTGATTTACTGCTGTAATGCTGAATTCCAATCATCTACTGAGAAATAAGTGTTCTCATGTCGCATGTTTGTTCGCACTACCGATGGCAGTGCTTACAACTTTTGGTTTCGGTTATCAACGATTACAGAGTATTTTCTATCCAAATTCGAATTATTTATTAGAAAGCATTCAAATTAACCTGGCACAGGCGGCTCATACACATCAACATTATCCTAGTGCACCGAAAAACGATTCAATTCTGTCAATTTTAACAGACTTAAAAATGATTCATCGGTTTTAGTACAATACTTTCAAAACAAAAATGCCGACATAGTGCATATTACATCGATCAGTATACTGGTGATAGTTTTTCAGTGATTATCATATAGAAAGTTCAATGATGCCATTAAACTGTTCTTAATTAATATAAATGATTAAGTAAAATTACCAGAACATGACATTAATCAAGTTGTATTCAAAGACAAAATAGTTCACCCATAAAAAACCGTGATTCTACCATAAATTTGTCGAAATTTTTGAATTTGATTTCTCCATTCATGAGTTGTCTATGTCAATAAGGTAGTGAAATTTAAAGAAAACATCGCTATATACTCATTAAAAGTTGACAGTCCTAAACCAATAGAATCAAGCTTGAAAAGTTCAACAAATCAGTTATAGACTCGGATTCTTCATTCCTGAAAATCATTGATCAAGTTTTATAAAATCTTGTTACTTTTTCAAAATATGCTTTTCCTGATCGAAAAACCTATAATAAGACAAATCCGCTATCTTAATCACTGATTTACTTCAGTTTTCTGATTATTCAGAACAGTAAAACTTACACAATGCATTCTACTGATTAATTAGTTATTTATTGTATAGTATCGACTCATCCTATTTATCAACATTATATATAACTATTTATTCTAAATATATGGTACATTTTTAGTTATATATATGTTAGATAGATCAGACTTTGAATTTGATTAAAAATGCTTTTGTTAGATTTTTTTTGCAATGATTGAGTTGATAGATGTTTTTGATTGTCTTACAATATTTTCTTGAATAAGTTGAATTTCGCTATAAGACAAAATAGTTTAAGTACAGTATTCAATATCCATACGTTGTAGGCCTGTTTGAGATCATGATTATTTGAATAGAAAACTACTTGTGCCAAGATAGGAATCGAGAAATAATCGCCAGTATTGAGCTGTAACGCTACCGACTTCAATCTTTTGTTGCTGCATTTCGACATAAGCGATCGTTCCAGCGGTTATCCAGTTGGTATCATCATGTGAATATTGCAAAGTGCCACCATTACCATTTGCTGGATTCCACTTAGTTGGATTTTTATGCAATGGTGCAATTGTTACACTTGTTACCGGAACAGGATATGGAAATGTAGCTTTAATCCATTCACCACGACGCATCAACGCAGTTGCAGCACCTGTTGTAAACTGACCATCTAACAACGATTCACGTGTATTTTCAGCATTTACTAGCGTGTATGAGGGAGACATAGATAATTTCCAGTTGTTTAAGTCTGAGAAAAATCGACAATGAGTTATTAGTTTGAAAGATTATTATAAAAGGATGAGACGAACCGACATCTAACGTTCTCAATGATAGTAGCGTAGTATTTCCAATTTCTCTGTCATAACATGTGGATAAACGCAATACATAAGATGTGCTCGGTTTTAAATCTTGCAAATGATATTTCGTTTCCAAACCACGATAGACCTAAAATCAAACAATGTCTAACATTCATTTCTTTTTCTATGAAACTCAGTAGCATCGTTTAATTTTTGTTTGACACCGATATGTTTCTACAAAAGATCGTGGCAAATCTTAGGACTAAATTCTGACTGTTAAAATCTAATACAGCTATGTGGTTCGAGAAAACTATAGAGTACATCCGTCCTTACTTACAAGCTAATTAAAGATTTTTTTCTGATTCTTCGTATCAAGTATGTTTTTATCATAAATAACATATAGAACAAGTGATTTGTAGAAAAATAAAAGTTTCACTTCATGAAATACTTCGATATTTATTTAATCCTGTTGCAATGATTTCCCAAAACAAAAAAAAGGATGAGAATGTAATTTTTATTACAACGAGTTATTTCCATAGGTTATGATTCTCATCTGATCGTAATATGAAAAATTCTAAAAGCGAAAATTGCTTTTCAAGTAATTCTACTCATTTTCACTGTAGTCCTACGAAGAAAAACCAGTTTCATAATGTTGTATTTCATCATTCTGTCCTATCGAATATTGCAGTTATTTTGTTTGATTGACAATATTTGCACAAAATTTCTTGATGTAATAATCAGTTCAAGTGTTCTATTTTTCTATATAGTTCAAAATTTTTTCATTATTTTTGTCTCTTCTTGCTACACTAAAATTAATTTTCGAATTAATTTTCTCAGATAATAACGATATCAAATTAAATAATTTAATAGAAAATAAATTAAACTTTGAACCTAGATTCAAGTGTAGAAAGATCTGCAACTCCTTGATATAGGTCACCTTTCACTTCAGAAGAAATTGATGATCTATATCTTTCACGCGATCTTTAAAAAAAATTTGACTGAAACCAATATTCTCCTCTTATTTCGGAAAATATAGCATGGACTCAATAGATTCAAATTGGCTTTTTATGGAAAGTAAAGGACGCATACTTCATTGAAATTATTATTGTCTTGTTTAAGTTCTAAAATGTAAGCAGTTATAGATGATTCATAGTCAATTAGTTCCCATTCAACTTCAAGATTAGTTCCACCAACTTTACACTTTTGTTGAACAAATAATGGTGCAGCTATAATAGAAAGTCGATCTTATTTTTTATATATTGAAAAGAAAATAAACACGTACGTATTTCTCCTATAATTCCTGAGGTTTTGATCATTTCGAGAAGGATCTGAATTGAAATATGAAATGGAATCGAATCAGTCAAATGAGCTTGATGATGATATTCAACACTTTCAATTTCAAGTTTTTTCATTTGATCAATAATAGTTTTAGATTGAGACAATGCAGCAAAATCATTGAGTGTTAATATATGTCTTCCTTCTTCTAAACATTTATTTAAACTTGAATTGATATTGCTAAGATCTTCTTGTTTCGAATAAATATGATCGCGAGATGTCTGAAAAAAATATAACAAATCTTTAGAATATAGAGAAATTTATTATCATACTTGAGACTTTTGTTGTAATTGTGTTTTTAATATTTTTCGTCTAGCTTCTACACATTCTACAATTCGATTAAATTCCTTGTCAATTTCTTGATTACTTTTCAATTCACTAATATCAATATCTAATAGAAATATTATCAAAAGAAAAACCAATTGTTTAATCTTACTTTTAAGTGCTTGTTGTAATTGATTTAATTCATTCGTAAATGTTGTTTTTAATTTTCGAATTTTCTCGAGATATTCATTTACTAAATTTTTTTCTCCATTTGCAACATCTACAACTGATTTTACTTCATCACTATGTTGTTTATGAATATCAACCGATAGACATGCCACACAACAAACATCCTACATGAAAATTAACACTTGATATTTTTTGAATAAATTAGAATTGCATCATAAAAAGAAGGGTGTGAGTGAAAAGAAGATTTATATCAACACCTACACCCACAACCTAGGGTGTGAGAATGTCACTCTCACTTTCACATCCTTAAAATATGCATAAATATGTGTAGGTAGATTTCTGCATACGCTCATCAGTTTCTTCCTTTCAAAATCGTTCTATTGATATCCGATAATAATATATAAAAATTCATTTGGAAATTTTATCTCGCGAAAAAAAATCTCGAGAAGTATTCATAAAACTCGATTTTTTTTGCAAAATTCAAAAACGAACAGTTGGGAAAATATTTGATCTATGTACAACTAACGAAGATCTATAGAATGTACGAAACAATTTTTCTTCAGATTTACTTTTTATTTTTCTCGATTTTTTATTTATTTCAAACAATATAACACCAGTGGCAATTTATCCATATAAGTACTTAGCTTGTATTCATAACTCATTTTTATATTTGTTTCGTATACTTATTTTTACGAAGACTATAGTGAAACATAATTAATGTACTCTAAATTTTCGTTTTTTTCATCTACAAATCTTAATCTATTTTAGATTGTTTTTATTATCGAACTTTAATTCATTTATTTAAATTGATGAGTATACTTTCTTACCTTGCAAAATAAACAATATAAACAAAGTGGCATGTGATGAGCTTTACAATTTTGTGGTTTAGTAGTTTCATTGTTGATGATAATGAATTTTTCATCAATAGGAACAATTTTGTGTGACTTCTGTGACTTAAGTGAATGTGCAAAAGTATTATGTTGATCACAAAAATTAGCATCATCTTGAACACAGTACCATGTGGCGTTTGTATCGCATTCATTGCACAATTCCGTATGTTGTCTAGAGGTCATTTTAATGTAAAAACAAGTCAATTTTATTAAGAGAAATGTAACGAAAGAAATGCTGATGTTGTAAGATAAGTAAAATGTGTAACAAGTGACACAAAATTTTCTTTTCTTTTCTTGCCCGTAATAGTTTACTCTCTGGTTTTATTTTTCTTATTTTTTATTTTGTGACTCTCAAAGAATCGTTCTGTTGAAGAAATGTGCCCTGGTTTTAGAGAACGAAGAAAATGAATCATAATAAACTACGTATATGTCGCACATTTTTTTCGCAGTACCGCTAGTATGGTGCTTACGACTTTCTGTTCCAACTATAAACGATTGCAAAGAATGTTTTCTATTTAAATTCGAATTTATTATTAGAAAGAATTCAAATTCATCCAGAAAAAAAAACAGTTTCAGAATATTTTTTAGCAATAAAAATTTTTGCAGCACCATCTATAATAAAAAATTTATCTCATAACTGAAACCGATTTGAATCCTGTAGCTCGTACAGGCGGCTCAGACGCATCAATGGTATCCGAATACATCGAAATCGACTCAATTCTGTTAGTTTTAACAGATTTCAAAAATATTGACCCGTTTTGATACCATATACCATGATACGTCACTTTCAAAAAAAAACCGGCAATCAACTCTGGAATAGCGCGTATTAGACCGATCGATATACCGATGGTTTTTGTCCGTCTTGAATCATATGGGGCAGACATAACGGTATTGAGAAAAGAAGAAGAAGAGACAAGAATTATTGGTATTTTTTCAACTTTTTTTTTTGTAAAATATCAGAGAATTCTATTTACATCTATAAACAGAATAAAACAGGTATGATGCGTTTTTCCTTTTGTTTCTCTTCTCACATGTGACAGAGAAAAATTTTTTTCTAAAACAACATTACCATTTCGTTGATTCTGCTTGTGACGGCAAAAGGCATCATATTTGTGTGCATGTCAGTAGAGAAAAAGCAAAGTGTTCTGCTAAATAAATGTGATTTTTTTGAACAAGTCTTTCTTCTAATGATACGTTATTCCGTCTAACGGATGATGTAAAAGTTCCTGCACAAATGGCGGTTTATTTTTTATCGGCTAAAATATGTGTTTGCAAACTTGAAAATTCTTATACAAAATCTATGTCGAAAGCTATTTCTAATTGTATATTCAAAGAAGTTCATTCATGTCCTGTCTGTCAGTAAGTAACACATCTTTCAACAGCACTAAAATGTGGTCTGTAAAAGGAAACGAATATTACAGAAGGAACGACGGATCTTTTGATATTTTATATTTTTCTTTCGGTTCATTTCATGAGATAGCGTTTATATTTTCTCTATTAAATTAATTATTAGCTCTATTCTTGACAAACTATGTGGAAAATATTATGAAATTCTTTGGGATAACATTGACAGAATTCATCTTCGAACTTCTAGCCATTTTCAGATTGATGTTGGCATTGTTTTGTTCGATGTTCGATTTTGTCATTTCTAGGCGTTGTCTCAAATATATTCATAATTCTAGTATCTAAGGTTATTCGTAGCCATTATGTCAACTGATTTTATAAAAAAGAGCATCATTCACATCTTAAAACTTCTATTGGCTCATCATCATTGTTACATTGAGTTTTGCCATCATTTCTAACATCATTGCTTTTCAAATATTCGATCACATCAACTAAACTGATACCGTACTGTTTTCTGTCAGGTTTGTACGGAATTAAAAGGCGCATCTAACCGAAACAGAATAGCAACATACAATGGGTTCTATTGGACAGAATAAAAATTCTAAGAGATTAGTTTTTTTCGTGCCCATTACTTTGATATGTTTTTACGCGTCTAATTTTAGTGCTGTTTAAAGACGTACTCCGTAGTGAAAGACAGTACATGATAGAACTTTTCTAAACATACAGTTAGAACAAGCTTTCGATGTATATTCTATACAAACACTGTCGAGTTCGTTCACATACGCTTTGTCCAATGAAAAATGAATCGACATTTGTGCAGGAACTTTTGCTTCTGTCATTATCAAAAAATGGAAAAAATGAGTAATATCATACCAGGATGCTTATAGAACAACTGAAATAATGAATGATTGATTATGTCAACTCAGATGAAAAAGAAAAAAATCCCAAATAGCTTTATTTATATTAGGCGACTTGGATTACCATTTTACAAGAGTAATGATAATTTCTCACGGGATACCAAAAGTACTGGCGTCTGTACTATAACATCTTATAGCAAGCTCGAGGAAGTTTTCTCTCTATGTTTATTGATATCCCTAATACTCGTTCTAAAATTTGACAACATTTCATTATTCTTCAGTTTATATTATCATACTTAGAGATAAGCAAAAATAGTGACGGTTTGACAAAAAATATATATCACAAGCAAAATTATACTTACGCAAAGTAAGTTGTAGTTAGACATGAAAGAGCTGAAGCTTTATAAATTAATTCTTGTTCTCACTATCAGCAGAGAAAAAATGTAATTATTTCATTAAATAAAGCAACAGAATATTTATTTTCACATATTTAATCGTATGATAAGTACATCGATGACTTCTTTTGCAACATGAGAAGTTGAATCTCGAAAACAATTTTACAAACAAGCAAATGAATATCTTAAAACTTTAAATAGCAAATTTTAAGTAAAGACAGTGATCATGTAAGCTATGAATGGAAAAATTCTTCATTGCCTTACGAATAAGTGCTCATCAGATTTCGATTCTCATTTTACACCTTAATATCGCATATCGTTGGTCATACATTGCTGACTAGAGACTTTTCCTATATGATGCAATAACTAATAAACTGATACTAGTATATGAAGCGATGTGTGATGTTTATAATCGCACCCATGTTGAAACAGCTCACACAGGATGCAACAAATTTCTAGATAGTTTATCAATGTATTATAGCTGGTATAATCGATATCTATTGCAGATCTTTATAAAAAAAATTATTCTTCATGTCAAAAAAGAAAATCCATAATAAAACCTATGTTACCAAAACCAATCATTTTATTAGGTAAGACACATTGCTCCTTTATATCATCTTCTTAAGGCTCTCCGCCCTTAAAAATCGATCTCAGGTAAGATACACTGGAATCACATGAAATTTTCAGGATATGTTGGGGCTGTAATTGGGTGTCTACAGTAAAATTTTCAGCTCTGTACTATGGCCTGTGAGGGAGATATCCACCAAACAAGGGTCAAAAAATATCTCATTTCTCCTCCAAAACTTTTCTGTGGTCTTCAGTCTATATATTTAATTTTTTCTGTTTGCAAGTGCATGTCAGAATGCAGTGCCTATGAGAGCCCTTTTTTAGAAACTCTTATCTTTCAAGCGAAGAAAAGGACTGACAAGTTCAATTACTCGAAAAACCCTAAAAAAATGGCGCTCTAATTGTAAAAGTACTTTTCAATATACGACTAACAAAGCTTCATTCAAAAAATGAGCTCTCATAGGCACCGCAGTTTCACACGTTCTTGTAAACAAAATAAAAGATATTCGACTCAATATCACGTTGTTGTGGTAGAGTGCCGCTGGAGATGCATCATCAAATCCACGTTCTGAGAAAAACAAAGAGTGATTTTCGGCTTTTTGTAAAAACAGCTTTTTTTTCGAATAGGGGATGAGAAAAGTCTTCCAAAATTTTTGGACAAAAAGAGGTGCCCAAATAAAAATTTTTTCGCATATGAGAGAGCAGATGAAGGGCTATTTCTCCATGAATTTATCTCAATTTCGATGATTCTGGCGAAAAGTGACTTTTTTGAGGAAGCCTTAAGTTCTTCTTCTGGAATATACTTCACCATCTTGAAACCTCTTGAAGTAGCGATTCTTCCTTTGTTTGATCAATCAAATTATTCTTGATATAATCATTTAGCCAAAAGTCACGTGGCCAAAGATCTAGTGAATATGATGGATGTGTCATTATTTCAATACTTTCTTCTGTTAAATAATGAATAATATTGGGACGTGTATGAGGCCGGTCATTATCATGAAGCAATTTGATATATTTTGTACGTGATGATTTTTCTTGTTTCCGTAATTCATTGATAACAGGCTTGAGACAATTTTCAATACAATAGTTGTGAACCCACGGGTTGAAAGAGCTGATTTATTTACACGAGATAACTAACTGAACTAACTAAACAAATGAGCTGACAACGGACGATCTCTCACTCTACAAATACTATCGAAATGTAATATTCTAGAACATGAGATCAGCAAATATTACAGAAAAGAGAAATGAAAAATGTGGAAAGTTTCAAAATATACTCAAACGTTCGACAAGGGTTAGTCAAATATTCACGTAGCCATTATATTATAGACTTTATCTAAAAGAATGCTAGGATTAAATCCAAGATAGAGTCGCTATATGCATTATTATAGACGAGGTATTTCACTATGTATTCATGCAATAAAACCTTCGATACTAAGTGTTTAATAAAATTTAAAATGCCAAGGCCAGAACTTCTGGTATGCCCTAAGTATCGTTTTTTGTATTTCGTTTTTTAAATCGTAATGCAGAGCCTTAATGAGTGCTTATATCTTAATAAACAAACTTGAAATCCATTAGTGAATTAACTCTACGTTTATTTAATTATTTTACACTTAAGGGGGCTCCCTCTAAAACGAAATTTTTTTCGATCATCCAATGATGATGAAATTTCCAGTGGAAGTGTATCTCGAGCTAGATAGCTCACACTAAAAATTTCAGCACGATACATTGAGTCTACGAAGAGTTACCATAAGGCTATGGGTCAAAATTTAGGTGTCCATGCGTCCCAAATTTCTCTACCATTTCGAATGCTAGAAAATTCGGACTGGTTCTAAAATGTAGCCAAGATGTGGCGCTACCGTTTAATAGGACTCAATTTTTCGATTCTTTCCTAGTTTGTGTTTTTAGAAAATTTCTCTGATGAAATATGAAAAAGCCACTATGGAGAGGTCCAGAAAAGTTAGTTTCTTATAAATATTTATGAGGAAATCGAAAAGTCCGACTCTGTTGACTTGTAGAGCTAATTTTTTCCTTCCTGTTGACACCAAGACTAGCTTTCTAGCATTTTAAATAGCGGAGAAATCTGGGACGTACGGAAACATAAAAATCAAAAATCCTATTTTGAGAAAAAACCTTATTTTCTCCTATGGGAGGTTCAGAAAAGCCTGTGAAATATCCTTAAATCTCATCATAAAATCAATAAACTATAGTGTATTCAAAAGTAGACACTTAGCTCTATCTAACGAGCTATAAATAACAAAATCGACAAACTTGACCAAAATTGACATTTTTTGGGGGACTCTTCAGCACAACACGTAATCAGCAGATTATTTCGACACAAGTCGATTGCTGAAAAAGCAAGAGTTGAGATCAGCAGATTGATTTGCATCTTTGATATACAAGTCCGTCTGTTTTTCGACTGAATTACATTCTCACATCTGCACACTATACAAAATAATTAAGTTATTTTCTACTAAAAATACAAAGACTAGTGCATATCAGAATGAACCAATGATGAAACGAAAAATTATATGTACAATTGAAACAATGAATATCATCAATGTTGTTATTATCCGTGTATTAAATATGATTTATTTCAATATCAAACAAATATTTATTCTTGATTCAACGAAAATAACTGACTGAAATACTATCCAATTCAAATCTTGTTTTTTGTTTACTAATATAATCCAATCTAAATCTGGTATTTTTATATCAATTAAAATTAGATCGATCCAAAACGACTGGTATCAAAAAATAACCAAATAAATCAAAAGTATTCAAATTTTAATATATTAATTAACAAATGCCCATAAGTATTCTTTCATTTTTCTGTATTGTCGTGCTTGAAATTGTAGCATAGTCCTGATGGATCTTAATATTTCAATAAAACAACATGAAACATATTAGCAAATTGAACTCTGCATTTCTTTAAATATTTCTAATCAAACCAAACAAATTTATTATTCTATGATTATTTTGCGATTCAACTAAATCGATTACTGAAAAGCAAAAGTTGAGAATAGCAGATTGAACTTGTCTTTTTTTAAAAGCTAAGTCTTTCTGTTTTCGACTCATTCACTCACACACCAAACTATATATTTTATTAAGAAAAGAAAAAGAATTAGTATATTAGTAGAGATAATGTGCGAGAAGAAACTACAATGCAAATCACCCATGGCTACTACGTCGATAGATACGAAAACTAAAAGCAAACTATGTTTAAAGTATACACGAATGAGTAAAAAAAAGGAAACATGTTCAAAGTTCGATTGAGAACGACTAAGCCTAAGTTTGAATACACGTGAACATTTGTATGCGGTTATTGTTTGTGTCGACTACATACAAATTACCTTGATTGTCAAGTCTAACGACAGAGGATGCATTAAATGCGGAGGCACTAATGCCAGCTATTCCAGTTCCAGCAATGGTAGTGCCAACCGTTTGACCAGGTGTAAAAAATTGTATGCGATTATTGTCCCTATCGGCTACATACATATTTCCCGTGGAATCGAATGTTACACCAGTGGGATTGTGTAGTTGTGTTGCTGCATTACCAGAGACTCCAGTAGTACCAGCAAGAACTGTCCCTGTAGTGGCTCCTATAACCCAACGAACAATATTGTGAGCCGCAGTATTAGCGATCACCAGACTATTTGTTGTTGAATCGAAAAAGATACCATTTGGAGTGCTCAACTGATTAGCAGCATTTCCAGCTCCATTACCACCAGCAGCCGTACCAATAGCTCTTGTGACTGGATCGATTTGTGCCACACGTTGAGTGTCCCCCCGATCAGTGACGTAAACTGTGCCCGTGTTGGGATTAAGTGTAATATCGGACGGACTGGCTAATCCTGAAAACATACACATGTTTCAATGAAACACAACAATATTTGATGAAACTTTTCGAATGATTTCTTTCACAAAACATGATTTCTATTTATGAGAGAGTAGTGGCGTATCCTGGATTTTTTTGAGCACTGGACAAAACCCGAGCAGAGATAGATCGTGAACTGAGTTACTATAGGTAATTGTAGAAGCTTATTGGACAATTATTGCTTCTCAATGTTTTCCTTGGGTAATGAACTGCAATTTTAGTAATTTGGCACTACTGACCTATCTTTGCTTGTTTTCAAAATATTCTTTCGGTCTAAAGAGCATGGCAAACAATCGGATATTGTTGCTCCAGGATTGAAAACTTTTTTTCTGGTGTATGAGAGCAATTTTAAGCAGTTTTTTTTGAAAATATTGAAATCTTGCATAAAGAAAGTAGTAATCGAAGATTTTACAAGTACATTTTCAGACATATTTGACTTTCAAAACCAGAATGACTAGTATTTATTATTTAATCCACTGAAAACTTTTAGAAGTAATGTATCTTCTAAAGCTAACGCATAACAATAAGTTCTTTTGTGCATATAAAAATATCTTTAGTTCTGAATCCAAAGTGAATCTTCGCTTTCAAACTATGAACATGTGTTCTATATATATGAATGCACAGGTAATACCACGGAAGACGGCAACTGTCAGAAACAGTTGTTGAAAAATTTGACTAATAAAATTTAGATATGAATCTGAACGACAGAAGAAAAATTTATTCATATCGGAGTAACTGAAAAATTATCTCTCATGTTTACTTCGGGTGTCTCATATGGCGAAGTTTTTTAATGACAATGTAGAAAATTCAATTCTAAAGATTAATAATCTAGAGAATGCAACAGTTTTCATATTTTCTGCTTGCAGACCCAAAAATTCGTTCATTATTTAATGATTCTCTATCGAAAGCAGCAACTGTTTGAAATGTAATCAAAAATTTTGAGCCGAAGAATCGACCATCCAATTGAAGAACATCGGAACTCACGTATTACGTTGCAAATCCAAAAATTATTCCTATCGCATATTTTCATGCAGCATATGGCTACACTCTCTGTTAGTGACTTGCATAGCCATGACTATAGCTTGAGAGATCAGACATTTTTAAAGATAAATAATGAAAATCTACAAGAAAACTGAGTGAAAAGAAAACTTACTTTATGTATATATGTTAGCTAATCAGCGCGCGTTATGTAACAATCGAAGACTGCTGCAGAAGATAGTATTTAAACAGCTCTGTATATAGCACCCGCAAAATATCTGATAAAACATTTGTCGCAGCACATTGTACTCATGAGAAGTTATGATATATAGGTTGATGATATACGATTTCTGGAAAAATGAGACTACTAGTAAAATAATTATTAATGTGTTAGAACTCGATGAAATCGATTCAGGTTTTGTGTGTTTAAAGTTCTATCAACTAGGTACATGTTCATGAGTGAAACAGTCAAAAGTGTTCTAATTCATACGAAACATCAGAGTCGCAGTGTGAATGACATGAAGTTTCAGATTTCATGATATACCAAAATATTCAGATTACAGTTTGTGTCATCAATCAGAGTGCACTAAGGAAGACATTCTTGATAAGATTCGGCTAACAGAACCTTAGAAAGTTTGAGTTCCAGTGTAGCAGATACTTTGGGCGACACTATGAAAGGTTAGTATCTAGAGATGAAGGCTGATGTTTGAATACAGCACTTAAAGTAAACTTTAACAGTCATTTGGTCTAAATGTGAGAACTAAACTTAGGTTCGAAAATATTTGACTCTATGTTCTCATAAAATGCCATACAAGATATCGAACGTCTAGTAAACTGCTGACGACTCAACCTCCATTGTCCACAGATACGTATATTTTAAGGCTTCTTCTAGTAATATTGACCTCTACTACTGGACAATATGTGAGCTTGAAATCAAGAAAACAGTCCGACTACTTTGATCGTTACATGAAATTATAGGCGCAAGGACTGTACCATAATGGTTTCATTATCCTTTCTTTAAATTAGCATTTCATCTTAGTTCTTCTTTTCGATTTAGCTGGACTTTTTTTCGACTATCTATTTTAGCTAATTCGATTTCAAGAGACTTTTGACGAAAAGCACACTATGTACTCTTTAGCAGGAAAATAATACAAGACAAATTTTTTCTCGATCAGAGAATAGAGGATCATCATTTGATTGAAACCATATGGAAAATCACTACTTGTTTTGATAAATGTCGAAGGAATTCAAAACTTCTAAAACCTAGCTTAGATGCACATTATCCACGTCTAAAATATAGCCTTGAAATCGATTTTTAATCGAAATGACTCTGCAATTTCTGCGTTTCTTCCTCGGTTTTTCATAATACATCGACAATTTTGAAGTTATGCACTATTAACCACGAAAAATACTGCTATCTGTTAGGTTGAAATTGTCGAGATTCTCATTTGAACCTCAAACTGTCTTACCTGTGTTGACTAAGGTAGTGCCATGAACTTCTGCAGGTGGCCAAATTTCAACTCGATTATTACCGGTATCTGCCACATAGATATTACCCCTTGAGTCGATAACGATACCTTCAGGGCCACTGAGCCGACCAAGCTCTGTTCCCCCAGTTCCATCTGCTTGACCAGCTACTGTCGAACCAGTAGTAGCCCCCACCACCCATCTCTGGACTCTGTTATTTCCAGTATCAGCGATATAAAGTATATTGGATGAATCCAAAGTTACATCACCTGGAGAGCGAAGTCGATCGAGTGTAACATTAGCGACACCATTAGCATCACCTGCGACAGTCGTGCCTACTGGGTTCCATTGAAGCGAACAGATGGGAGCTAGAAGAATATACAGAATTTCAATGCAGAAGTCCAGCAACAGAACTGATTAGATGACATATGAGCTTTGTTCAATATGTGAAATACAGTGTGTGTGTTGAATTTTCGATTGATATCTGTTAAGCTGAAAAGATCTTTCAAGCAATACGAGCTCTCTCTTAGGCTACAGATGGCATGTCGTGGCATGAAAGCTTTTATTTGCGTTGGAATAGGGACCAGGTGTGTCTCCAATCAATTTCGAGATCATCACAACATAATATGTGTAAATCGATGCAAATTTCAAGAGGAACGAACTCGATAACACATGGTTGAAACAACCTCAAATTTTTAGGAATAATCGCTTTTTATCACACTAATCTCTACTATGACCATTTGCTAATTTGTCAACTTTCACCGTCATGAGAAAAATAAAAGTTCTAAACATAAAAAACCTGTTCGCGGAACTTATTGAAGATTGACGAAAACCTATATGAATAATTCTAAAACAATTATACCATCTCGAGACACGGATTTCTCTGATAAAGTTTGCATAAGATGATCGAACATATCAATTTGGTGTTTCGTACTGTATAAAGATGCGAAGAAACTGATAAATAGACTGCTACACACTACATTGAATAGAAAACTCGCGACCGACTACGTCAAAGATGTTTCGGATAGCATTTAAGTTAGTTTTTGATCTGTAAGATCCTAGTGAAAATCAACGGCAAAACCAAATGATTGTTGTATCATTACTGTAGTGATTAACACGTTGATATGATCAATCAAGACGTTGACTTGATTGTTGTAAGATCAAAAACAGAAAGAATGATTCATGCTGGTATATCGGTCGGTCTATGAGCTACCTAATTCAAGTTCGAATAAAAATGGAGAGCTAACTAGATATTATGACTTCGAAAATAAATGAAAAAAAAAAGATTTCTCTGTTGAAACAGCAAAACAAACAAAAGATAAAAATTTTAACCTGGATTGTGATTCTAAAGCCAATTCCAACTATTCACACCTAAGATACTCGAGAAACTACCTGAAATGTTACAGTAAACACTGGCGATCCTACATTGACCACGTGCGATATTAGTAACATAACTGTGACACTAGTTGCATGAATTAGGATGCTAGTAGCATTGCCAGAAATGATGCGATGGTACCAGCATTCCAGGTGATGCTACAAGAATCCCAGATCATGCTACTATCATCCTAGATGATGGTATCTGCATGGAAGACGATGGTACTAGCATCCTAGTTCATGCAACTAGTATGTCAGATGATGCTACTAACATCACAATTACTGCTTGTAACATCTCAGTTATTGTTTGCAGCAACTGAAATGCTAGACCCAGCATGGTTCACAGACCTCTAAGAGCTACATTAGGTAAAACTATTAGAATTTCAAAAAATGTTAACTTGACGCTGACACTTTTGTGTTAATTAACTCTGATGCCAATAATATTGAAGCATCAGCCTTACTCTTTAATGTCAATGCAAAAGCATGAGCATTTCTAAACGATGCTAGGATGACATCCTCACATTGAAGTATTCAACTTGCCAAAACACGTTTTTGTGACGTAAATGATTTTTTATCTCAGCGTCGTCGCGTGAAGGTGTATAGTGTTCTCTGAAAAGCTGTGATTCATGCTCCTCTCTGTGTACACAGTAATGAGAATAGTTTCTATTCGAATTATGCTTCGAATACAAATAAAAATTTTATCTTCTGCTTTGTTTTTACTGCTTTAACAGGGATGTGCTATTCAATTTATAAATTTATAATTTATATAAAATTTATCTTTTGCTTTGTTTTGCTGCTGCGAAAAAGTATGATTATTTTTACAATTTTTTCCTATTTCAACATGGAAGCCGGTTTTTCTATTTTTTCAATTATCTTCGAACTCGAATTAGGTATCTATTTTATTCATAGGAAAGATTTACTTTCTAGAACACATTTTCCGCAAGCTGATCGGTGAGAAAATAATCCAAGAATTAAGGAAAATTCGTGAATGTTGAAAGAGTAAATCTCATTCAACAAGAAGGCAAGATATTGACATGACATTTATGGGCACTGATCAATGCATATTTCGTGTCATCCAAGCAAAAAATTGTATATACCCGAGGAGACGGTTATTATACTTTTCCTTAAAAAAAGCTGAATATTGCTCTTATTTACCATTATGAAGAGAGCATTT